CCCCAAAACCCCAAAACCCCAAAACCCCGGTACGAAACATAGATAAATAACAAGAAATAAGTATAAAAATATCAATTTCAATCAGCGGAAGAACATATATTAGATTACATACTCAGCAAATTTAATTTAATATTGAGTCATATAAGAATCTAGTATATTAAATCAAGTGTTATATTTTATTAATAATTAATAATTGATTCAAATAATTCTCATCTGTTTAATTGCGTTTTCTATAAAATGAAGCTTTGGCACAATTTTTTCCTTATTGTCTTCATTCAAACGTTTTATTGTTTGGACTGTCTTTAAAATGAGCATGAAAGTCAATGCTAAATTGGTCCGAAATTTACAATTCTCATATACGGGGAAGGAACTAATAAAGACCTGGAATCCTGCATTATATCGTCTCTTGAACAGGACTTCTAAAATTACGAGATCATAGTAAATGTAAAAAACTCAGCAGATTTAGAGTATATTCAATCACGCTTTGAATCAGATTAGCAATCAAAGTTGAAGATAAAGTATAATCTTTAGCAAGAGGTCGAGGATTTCGCTATTGTCATTACAAATTCTATTGATAACATAAAGGGAGAGTTCATTGTTTTAACTCACGTTCAAACTCTTAATCATTACTAGAGATTGACTATTGCCAATTAAGCAATAATTAGTTTTAGTACTTAAGTATTGATGTCGGATATTTTAATTTGGGATGACAGTGATTAATTTTTCCCTAAAAGTAACAAGAAAATGGTTTTGCGTGATTATATGAGAAATTTAGATCATATTTTATTCTCTTAGAATCCTATTTATTAATCAACATTGATATTTAAAAAATCCTACTTTTAATAAATTTCAGAAAAGTCATCACATAAAAATTGATTTGATCTATTGGATAAAATTTTACAAAGTTGTGATGTCATGGATTTGCCTGATGCATTAGTTAAGTTGACAATCCATAAGTTTAAGAAGAAGTATACCTATGACTTTGCATATAGGACCTAGGAGGATCATTAAAAGTTCTAACACTACAATCGATTACTATAAAATAAGTAGATATTTAACCTAAAAGCTGAAGAATTTTCAAAATTTTTGAACTGCACCTTTGATTATCTTGTCTGTGAAAAAAACATAAAAGAAATTACTTAATATCTGTTGATAGAGTCATACTTAACTGAGAAAGTGCCTTCAAAGAGGGACTTAAAAGATCTTTTATTTTCGATAGATGAAATATCATAATATCTAAGAATTCAGGAGAAGTTTAATAAGAATCCAAGTCATTATCCCTTAGTCTCCCTAATAATGGCAAGTCATGATAGAGATTATTTTTTGCTTGAAGCAGTCAAAAGTTGTTTTTATTTAACATATCCTAATTGGGAGCTATACATTGTTGATGATGGTTCTAGTAATCCACTAACTTATAAAGTTCTTGAATTGCTTGAGTCAATTCCCAAACTAATTGTTCAATATCTTTATACTAATCAGTATTGTTCATTCACCAACAATTACGCCATTGCTTAACTCCAAGGTGAATACTTTGCATTGTTAGTCGATGATGACATTATGGTGCCTGATAGAATTGAAAAATAATTGAATTTTATGTAGAATAATCCAGAAATAGATTTTAGTGGAGGTTAAGCTATAACTATTGATGCATCTGGTAAAATTACTCTGATTCCAGATAGGCCTTTCATTAACATTTGGCATATTATAATAAGTATGGTAGGAAATAATCATTTCCCTCATAGTTCTCTTTTTGTTAGAATGAATGACAAAATGAAAAAGCATTTTTACTATGAAAATACCAGTGCTCCTGACTTTAGATTGTGGTTTAAGTTGCTCATAGATCTTGAGCAAGAAAGAATAAGAATTGGTATGACCTAGGCACATGTTATTATCTAAAGAGAGCATGGAAAGAGAATGACATACACTGAGAACGCTGCATTTCTTCACATTTAAAAGTGGACTGCAATAAAATAGGTTGAGGCTTATAATACTTTTAGTCCTTTATTACTTGAATAGGTTCATTCTTAATGCTTAAGAACAGCATTACATGATATATCTAACAAGAATCATATTGTTCGAGCTTGCAAAGATTTTGATATGGCTATGATAGCAAAATTAATGCTTGCTCATTAGCAGACTAAAGATTTTTATTCACCAAAAGATATATAAGAATTGAATGAAACTCTTCAGTTTTATACTGATTACTACAACTAAGCTGTCTTATAAAGAAGAGTTAATCTTTAGCCTGAGGAATATCGAAAAGTATTTGCTAGTATACTCTCAGTAGGAGATTCAATATCGGCTGAAAAACAAATAGAATCATTAAAAGACTTTGTAGATGGGATAGCTGTAGTACATATCAACACAGATTTATAATATGATGGGTAGAATTCTTAAAATAAAAACTCCTCTTATCTAAGATTGAAATATTAAGATAGCTAGAAAATAAAAGTTGAATATATGGAAAATGATTCTTACAGAATAGTGATGGAAAAATTTAATTAGTAATTAAGAAGATTTAGAGTAGGTGGCGCTGACTATATTTTAATATTAGGTCCAGGAGAATTTGTTTCACCTAAAGAAATTAAAAGATTCTAAAATTATAGAATGGACATTGGGATTTTTGGATTATAGCAATAGAACTAGTCAAAATTAATCACTAGCTCTAAAATAACTACCCATTGGCTATTGAATCATATCGGATATGAGTAACTAAGAAAGTATGAAATTGACCCAGATATTTTCAAATTAGCAAATGAACATGCTTTTGAAGACAATATTTATCTGATCTAAGTTGATTTCGGGATGTTAAATGTTTAAACCATTAAAAATGGAGGTTATTACATTTAATACTGAAACTTAGAAACTTAAAAATCTTTACCCTCATAATAACTAATAAGAAATAATTATCTTTAATATACTAAGGAAAAAATGAAATTAACTATCTATAAGAAATTCCTATAAATGTTGTAAGTCAATATTAATTTTAGGGGTTTTGGGGTTTTGGGG